ACTAATCGCAAAAATAATCGGTGACTAGTCGACTATCAAAATAATTGTTTGTGGCAGCCCTACTGCTGACCAAAGAGAACATAAAGGCTCGTCTCACATTTGAGACGAGGATTCCCAAAACTTTTGGGAAAATATTTTCTGGACTGATGAGACAAAAGTTGAACTTTCTGAAAGGTTTTGTGTCCTGTTACATTTGGTATTAAACTAAGGAGAATATCATACCAACAATCAAACATGGTGGTGTGATGGTCTGGACTGCTTGTAAGCTCGGTCATCATTTCATGCTCTGAACCTCAAGCACACTTGGGTTCTGCAGCACGATCCAGCAAGTCCATAAATAAATAAATTACAATGCTGTAAAGAAGAGTAGGACAAAATTCTTCCCCAGTGATGTGAAAGACTCGTTACCAGTTTGTTTAGAACACTTGATTGCAGTTCTAATTGCAGTTACTTTTTCACAAAGGGCGAGGTAGGTTTGGACAGTTTTTTTCCCTTAATAAATGAAATAATCTTTTAAAAGCCGCACTTTGTATTAACTAGTGTTATCTTTGTCTAATATTACAATTTGTTTGATCTTAAACATGTTAGTGTGACATATATGCCAAAGCACAGTTTTACAAAATAAAGAGCATCACAGTGTTTTCACTTTTCCTCTCTGGATGCAGTAAAGTGTTTAAAGATCGGCACTTTTCCTGTGAGGACTGTGACGGGACGGTCAGCGGCGGATTTGACGCAGCCTCGTCTCAGGTAGGAAACACAAGAACAGAGGTGTTGCAGACTGTGCGGGCCTATGAGAACTGACCGTATTTGTGTTGTTTTTTTCCCCCCAGATCGTTTTGTGTCAGAACAACATCCACCAGCAGTCCCACATGAACCGAGTAGTCACGCATGAGCTCATACATGCCTTTGACCATTGCCGGGCCCATGTGGACTGGTTCAATAACTTCAGACATCTGGCCTGTTCAGAGGTGAGTGGTGAAGTCTTCTTTTCACAAGAAAACTGGGACTGAATAACAAGAGTGGTTCCATAATGCTACTAGTGTCCAAAAGCTCCACTGAGAATGATCTGGAATTTCCAACAGATTCCCTAATGTTGCTCCCCCCCTGACAAAGTGTCTGGAAGCATCGTGAAGCTTACTGATGAGTAGTGAGACTGGATTCTGCCTCACAGAGTGAAGTGTCAGTGTTCTGCTGTCCTCAAAGATTCTAGTTTTTGGTGCCTCTGTTTCAGATCCGGGCAGCTAACCTGAGCGGAGACTGCTCCTTCACCAACGAAGTTGCTAGATTCAACTTCGGCTTAAAGCGGCATCATCAGGTACTTTCACCGGTCAAAAATTATTTGCAGATTTTAGCTCGCAGCTTCCATTTCAAACTAAACTCATGTGCTTTCCTCGGACAGGAGTGCGTCCGAGGCCGCGCCCTTCGCTCCATCCTGGCCGTGAGGAAAATTAGCCGAGCCGAGGCGGAGAAAATAGTCGACGAGGTCTTCGACTCGTGTTTCAACGACCACACGCCGTTCGGACGGATCCCGCACAGCAAGAGAGACGCCAAGTTTGCGTACAGAGATTACATGAACAGGGACCGATATTATGCAAACCTTTAGTGTCGCCGCATTTTCATGAAACTCCCAAAGGGTGCTGCGCAGCGCCGACTGCAGCTTGGCAATGTGGTCAGCCTCAGCAGAATGACTGTGTGTCGAAACAATCGTATCCCTTCAAAAGGGATTTTTGGACGATGATTTGTCCTTGAAGGAGAAAACAAAGGAGCTGCGTACAGATACATTTCACCTGCTACCTTTTGGACACTAATTCAGCGTAGTGGGATTGTAAGGACTGATTTTACTCTGGAAGTGTTAGTGATTTTTGTCCTTTGTTTTTAGGTGATTAATGGGTGCTGTTAAGGAAATACAGGATTGCCTTTTTGTACATCGGTGCGTGTGCTATGATGACAAATAAGGATGTATTTCTCTTGGTGGCTCATCAACTTGTTGCCACGTTGACCTCGATCAATTTCCTCTAAATATACTTGATTGTATGTATATTAAATAGAATCAAATTGTATGTGAATTAAAGTTTATTTCCTCTGGAAATGTTTGATTTTGGGTTTTTGTGTCTAGATTTTTACCCCTCAGTTGTAAGAATCTCATGGCATTATTGTCATCGTGGCTGGGACACTTAACTT